GTCCCGCAGGGCCCTGATCTCGGCAGGGAGTTCGTTCCAGTAGGACGGAGCTACAAACGAAAAAGCCCTCGTCCTGGTTACTATCAACCTGACTTCCTTAGGGCCAGGGAGGTCCAGGTGGTTTTGGGATCCTGATCTCAGTGCTCTCTGGGGAACATACGGGGAAAGGCGGTCCCTCAGGTAGGCCGGTCCCTGACCATAGAGGGCTTTAAAGGTCAAAACCAGCACCTTGAAGCGAATCCAGAATGCTATTGGCAGCCAGTGCAGTCTTGAGCACAGGCTGAATGTGCTCCCACCTGGGGAGGCCCATCAACAGCCTGGCCGCTGCATTCTGCACCAGCTGCAGCTTCCGGAGTTGCCCCAAGGGCAGCCCCATGTAGAGAGCATTGCGCTGCTACCTGGGCCTCCATTGTTAAGGAAGCATCCAGGAGCACTCCCAAGCTCCTGACCCTCGGAGCTGGCACCAATGGCGCCCCACCGAAGGCCGGGAGTGGGATCCCTATCCCCGTACCACTCCGATTCAGGCACAGGACCTCCGTCTTTGTTGGATTCAATTTCAATTGGCTCAGTCTAAGCCATCCAGCCACGTCCTGCAACACCTGGTCCAGATCTTCCGGGGGAGAGTCAGACTGACCGCCCAACATCAGATAGAGCTGGGTGTCATCCGCATACTGGTGACAACCCAGCCCATGCCTCCGGGCAATCTGGGCAAGAGGGCACATATAGATGTTAAATAGCATCGGGGAGAGCACAGCCCCTTGGGGCACACAACACACTAGTGGGTGCCTTCGGGACTGCTGCTCCCCAATAGCCACCCTTTGTCCCCGACCTTGGAGAAAGGAGACAAGCCATTGCAAGGCGAGCCCCTGAATTCCCATGTCGGCGAGGTGGTGGGCAAGCAGCTGATGGTAGACCATGTTGAACGCCGCCGACAGGTCTAGCAACAGCAGCACTGCCGTCCCGCCCCGATCCAGATGCCTCCAGAGGTCATCCGTGAGAGCGACCAGTGCTGTCTCCGTCCCATGGCCAGGGCGAAAACCGGACTGGAAAGGATCTAGCATGGAAGCGTCATCCAGAAAGCTCTGCAACTGCACCGCCACCGCCCTCTCAATTAACTTGCCCAAATAAGGCAAGTTGGATACTGGCCGATGGTTGGCCAATTCAGCCGGATCCAGTGATGGTTTTTAAGGAGGGGGCACCTCGCAACCCCTCGCGGCCAGCTTTAATTAGCCAGGAGGGGCACGGATCAAGGCTGCAAGTGGTTGGGCGTACAGTAGAGATCAGTCTGTCAACTTCCTCAAGGCTGAGTGAACTGAAATAATCCAGAATGGAACCAGAAGACGTGCATGGAGCCTCGAGTTCACTCACTGTCTCAACTGTGGTGGGGAGGTCGCGGCGGAGCACCAAGACTTTATCTGCAAAATAGCTCGCGAAAGCCTCACAGCCGATATCCAATTCCCTAGTGTTTTGTCTGCCCTGTGGCAGAGCTGTTAAAGACCGAATTGTTCTAAATAATTGTGCTGGGCGTGAGCTAGCAGACGCAATCGAGGCTGCGTAGAACTCCCTCTTTGCAGCCTTAACTGCCACTTCATAGGATTTCATAAACGTCCTATAAGATGCTCTTGTTGCTTCGTTGCAAGCGCACCGCCACTGTCTCTCTAGCCGTCTAAGCCTTTGCCTCATCAGCCTCAGCTCCTGGGTGTACCAGGGAGCCAGCCTTGTGCGCAGGCGCAGAGGGTGTCTGGGAGCAATCTCACGGATGACTGTCGAGAGTCAGTTATGCCAGTCCTCGACTAGCTCATCTAGTGAGCTGCCAGGGGGCATAGGATCCCGCAGAGCCATCTGAAGCCGCACTGGGTCCATTTGGCTCCGCGGGCGAGCTAAAATACGCTTGCTGCCCACACAGGGAATTAACACATGGAATTCATTGCCACAGGAGGTGGTGGCGGCTACAAGCACGGACAGCTTCAAAAGGGAATTAGACAGGCATATGGAGCAGAGGTCCATCAGTGGCTATTAGCCACAAGGTATAGATAGGGGCTCTGGGGCAAGGGATGCTCTGTCTTCTTGGTGCTTGTGGGGGGGGGTCAACAGTGGGAGGGCTTCTAATGTCCTGGCCCCACTGGTGGACCCCCTGATGGCACCTGGTGTTTTTGGCCACTGTGTGACACAGAGTGTTGGACTGGATGGGCCATTGGCCTGATCCAACATTGGCGTCTCTTATGTTCTTAAAAATAATAAAAAGGGTGAACTAGGATTGTTTTATGGTGAGCGCTTGAAAACAGCAATGGCTGCACGTAGCTATTAGAGACTTTGCAAAATAACCGATTTCAGACCAGAGTGCCAGCTCTGGATCTGGCACTGGAGCTTTTGTAATGAAAACCCCCCAGGTCCTTTTGAAGATCCTCCTGAATTTTTGTGGAAGGCTGCCTGAGGACAGAACACTACAGCAATAAATCATTATTCCATGTTAAAGTTTTTTCCCCAGAACATACATAAACCTGCACAGGTGTTCCAATTGCTAAATGGAGCAGCTCTTTGAAGCTGCTGCTGAGCCAGTTTGGTGCTGTGGTTAAGTGCGCGGACTCTAATCTGGGAGAATCGGGTTTGATTCCCCACTCCTCCACTTGCACCTGGCTGGAGGACCTTGGGCAAGCCGTAGTTCTGTCAGAGCTCTTCTTGAAAAAAGAGCAGTTTCTGTCAGAGCTCTCTCAGCCCCACCTACCTCATAAAAACATAAGAGAAGCAGTGTTGGATCAGGCCAATGGCCCATCCAGTCCACAACGGGGGTCTGGAGGCAGCCTGTGGCAAATGTTTACTAGTACCTTGGAGGTACTAGTTTTTTAACTCGCATTGTCGGCGGTAAGCCAAGGGTGTGCTCCACTTCCCAGGTGTTGGGGTGTGATCGTGCCCGGATAATCCGCCCACCATCCGTGCCTCTCCCGCGGCAACTTTGCCGTGTGACCGGGGCCAATATATATTTTACTCTCAGTCTCTTCTACCTGGATTAAAGGCTAGGGTCTGCGTATACTGCAACCTTAATAAGGTATAATGAGAGATCAGAAATCACATCCATCGGCCCCTCGTCCTACCCATGAGGCGGCCTTATCCTGAATCAGACCATCAAAGTATATATTGTTTTATCGTGGCAAGCTGTTCTTGCCTCTGTGAGCCGCCCTGAGCCCATTGGGGAGGGCGGGGTATAAGTACGAAAAATAAATAAATAAATAAATAAAGTGAGCCTTGCCGACTCTGAAGGGCAGCGGCTCCCCGAACCCGGGACCTCCTGCCTGCCAAGCCAGTGCTCTTCCCGATGGAGTGCTCCACTCTATAGCAGAGAAAAGAGCAAGAGTCCAGCAGCCCCCGAAAGATGAACAACATTGGGGGTAGGGTAGGTGCTTTCATGAGTGGCTCACAAAAGCTCAGAATCTGCCACAACTCTTCAGGCAGGGGGCCTGTTGGTCTGAAGCAGCAGAACAAAATTTGAGTCCAGTGGGCGGGGGCACCTTGAAGAAGGAAGCTTTATTCAAGGCATAAGCTTTTTTGCGCAAGCACAGATACCTCTTCCCCCACCTGTTTTGATCCTCTTTCAGGTGCTGCTGGACTTTTCCTCTTCTCCAATGCAATAGACAGACAGACAGACAAAGAGGGTGGCCCCTCTGGATCCATCTCCACGGGAAGCGGAGAAAAGCAGCCTGTCGGGGTCTTCTGTATGCCCCCCCCCCCCTTGAAGGCTTCTTCCTCCCGCCGCCCGGACTGATCTGCCCCCTCGAG